CTCTCTCTCTCTCTCTCTCTCTCTCTCTCTCTCTCTCTCTCTCTCTCTCTGTTGTCATCGTCGCCGTTCCGACGACGAGCAACGCCTTATCCAACCGTTGAAACTAGACAACGAAGAGAATAGACGTGTCTCCGGGTCTTTAGGCACTTAAATGTCGGAAGTTACGGAGAACCTCGAGATCGCGGCACAACGAACGCGCCCGGGTTTTACCATCTTCTCTATTTACAGCCTTGATCGAGCACGTCGGCACGTCTCGAAGAAGGATCGGGTGGTGGTAGTGGTGGTGTTGGTGGTGATTGTATTGAAATGTACGGTATCCGAACGAAATCGCGCGCGAGTCATTTCGAGAATCGTGCAAACTGAGAAATTCGCCATCGTAGGTGAGGACGATCGTCGCGAGATTACGCGTGAGATTACAATTCGATGGGTCTCGCTACTGGCCTGTTGAAGAATGTTAATAGCTTAGTGGAGCGATCGTTTGCTTGCGCCTTTCTTCTTTTTTCTTCTCTTTTACCTAAATTTCATTTAGGCGAATCGTACACGGAAAAAGGTGATTCAGTTGCAAATCTACAGTTTACTGGACATAATTAAACGTCATAACTAAGCAGAGATTTGCTGGCGCAGCGGAGAAATTATGTGTGGGAGCAATTGTCAATCTGTTCGTGGCCCACTTTTGTTGATGTTATCTTAATTACTGCAACAAAAGTCACTTCGTATATTTCGAGCCGATTGAGAAAGTTTGCGAAACAAATTCATCAATTCCACCAAACAAATCAGGCACTTATTCGATAGCTGATGAAGAAACTATTTTTGTTCGTTTTACGAAGAGAGGTGCACTCTCATTAAGACTGAATGCGCGAATGTTCCTAATGAGAGAGATGTGTAGTTATGTGCAATTTAAATTTTCCATCTTATATTAACAACTGTATGTATCTCTGCGATATAATATATTGATATAAATTTAGATTTTTATAATGTCTCATTGTACTATTTGGACAATGGTCGCACGGTAAATATTGTAGAGCTGTGACTAACTTCTGTTGCTGGAGCGACTAATTATTTAGCTATGACGAAACCCGCGCGTTAATGTACCACGTTTGCTTTGATACAACAGCGGAAAGATTAGTTGCACCTATCGAGTTGTATTTTTCAGCTTGTGTAATAGAGAATCGTTTTCGCTGTACTAACAAATCTGCCGTGCTGCAACATGAAACTTTATTAGGTATAACCACAACTCTATGTGGTTTTACGATTTAATTACCGCAACGTAGCAAACTGGCGGCTCATATATTACGGCTATAGACTTGCTAGGCTAACGAGGATTTCAGTTGCGACAGTAACTCTTTTTTTCCGTGTACGAACTCTGCGTCTAAATCTCTCTCTCTCTCTCTCTCTCTCTCTCTCTCTCTCTCTCTCTCTCTCTACATATTTATATTTACTTCGAACAGTCGCAATTCTCGAAATTCGCCCGTTCGATTTTCGATGTTCGACCAGAATCCGCCGCTCCGTCGTGAGCAATTCCCGTGAGAAAATACTGTCCATTCTAATACAAGTTCTTGCTGTGCGACGTTCGTGGCCGAGAACATATTCGGGAGAAGAAACAAATGAATGAATAAACGAACGAACGAACGAACGAACCGCCCGCTGAACGCGAGACTCGCAAAATTAAATTCGCCTCTCCGCGGCCCGCAACACCGATCTCTCGCGCAGCCGGGGCGGGCCCATGCGGAATTTTTACTCGTTACCACACTTACACACACAATATGGCATACATGCTCTATATCAAAATACACTTACGTCTCCTAAAGAGTAATCGATCGTTTCCCACCTTAATCTTTTTTTTCTTTTGTAAAATGTATATATAAAATATTATGTATAAAAATCAAAACCGCAATTATATTTACCGTTACAATTTGCCGTTACGTATAATAGACGCGTTAGCGATATAAACCAATAACTAATAATAATTACTATCGTTAAAGTAGATTTCAATTTCGTAGTTAATAGTTTAAAATAGTTGTAATAATAATAATAATAATAATAATAATGATAATAATAATAATATCAATACGTTGATAAAATGATGACAATAATATAATAGTAATAGTAATATAGCAATGATCAATAATAATCGCAATTGAAGAATGGCAATTTACAGTTCACACTCATTGTACATTCCGTCTTCCGCATGATTCTTTGTTCACTCGCACACTCGTCCCTCGTTGCCAATATGAGCGCGTACATTCGCGTCGGCAACTGGACGGGAGTGTACGCGCGCACGTCACGAAATTAAAGACTAGCAATTACGATTCCCACGAAGGGTTCTCTACGCTGTAATTAGGTAAAATCGCGGGAGAGCCGCGCGCGGCTCAGCGTCTCTTAATTAATTATTTATTTATTTCTCATTTAACCTATGTTATCGATAAATTCCTTTACTAAAATATAGTATTACGGTATTTTGTGTGATTTTTTTTCACCGATGATCTTTTTAAGTTAGAGCGCACCGGGATGAAGAAAAGAGAAAACGTTGCGCGCGGGGTCGCCGCCGTGTGAGCTTCGTGAAACCGCGACGATCGATGTGCGACGTGCGGATCGGGGAGGTACTTGGATGCGTGCGAAATTGCATTTCGCGAAGGGCAGTAAGAAACAACGAGGTAAGCAAGGTGTCGGGTGTTGTACATCTCAAGATTACGTCTATGGATCGTTTGCGTATTGTGTGTCTACGTGATGTACGTCAAACTAAAAATAGTCGAACATTTATTTATGGGATATGAAGTTTATTTTTGTAAAACGTGAAGTATATTTCTGTGAATGAACTTTATATCTCACAAATAAATTTTTAAATATCTTTGTTATAGTTATATTTATGTATATATATATTTTTATAGTTATATTTAGTATTTATCTTTCTTTTTTCGCAGTATATAAAAATGTGTTCTTTTTTCATGTAAACTATGGAATATTATAAATTATATAAAAATATTCAGAAAGATTACTAAATTATGAGGCAGTTGTTATGTGTGTCAATTATAAATGTTTAAAAAAGTTTTAGAAAGACAACAAAGATGTTTAAAAAAGAATAAACTGTATGAGATTTTCATTTCTTTATGTGGCAGATTGGTACACTATGAGAGAAAAAATGTTTGAAATATAAGAGATATTTATTCGCACACACAATGGGAACTAATAATATATTTACTCGTACCGATGTACATACTTTTACATCGAGAAAATTTCTTTCACAAATAGAAAAATACATATTTCCTTTAAACCGCGCTGCTTTTCATGAAAGGAATGTGTTTACTCTATTTAAACGTAGAAATGAAATTTAAATATATATGTTATTAGTGCCCAACACTATGTAAATTTGTTCATCTTTTAGATATTTTTCTTTTAGATATTTTCTCTCAGTGTATATTTAACTCTAAAGAATGCCACCAGGGAATTCTGTGGACTCTGACTTGTTTGGGAAACAACGTTCATAAATAGTCATCAAGACCCCAAAGATTCAATAACAATATAAATTGTTCTTAATTATTTTCTGAGCAAAGCCGTACGTTCTTTAAACGGCATCCATAGACGACATCTCGTAAACAGTTTAAGTTGTCTACACACGTGGACGCGGAGCATCATAATTTGCACGGAAACGCGTCCAGTCTTGGAGAAAAGTGTTTCTCTCGTTGATGACGATCGAGACGAGGTCGAGATTTCGCGCGGAAGAGTGTAAAAATATATAAAAAGAGTATCGCGACGGAGGTGCGACGGGTTTCGCTTCTCAATGATAACGAAAAGAATTATCATTGTCAAGAACGAAGTGTGCTTAAACGCGACGACGGGAATGCAGCGCGACGTAGAATCGCACTTCTTGCGAGACACGCGAACATGAGGTCGCGCGTACGGCAGTGTGTCGACAGGCAGTTTCTGAGTACATCATCTTCGAGAGGGGAACGACATCCCTCGAGTTGATCGGCAGTTTCGAGACAGTCTCGGCGTTTGTGAGGGGTGCGCACGTCGTCGCGGTTTCACGCTCGTAAGACGCGGCCGGCCCGACAAATAATTCGCTCCAGGATATCCGACGGCGATCGATAAACCGATCTTCACGGGAGATCGACGCGAAATTCGACGCGTGCACACGACGAAGGCCAGACAGACGGTAGGGCGTGATCGATCGCGGATTACTTGTCGCCGGATCGCGTGGCGGCGCTCAGAGACAGCTACAGAAGACCCGAGGACTCCTCTCCGGGGCCCCGGTTGTTTTGGCAATTATTGTACTTGTCTATATTTACAGGTGTATCGTATATGCAATGCGTGAGACACCGAGAGCACAGAATCTCGCGGGAAAAATTGCATCTCGCGTCGCGCGAAAGCAATCTCTCTCTCTCTCTCTCTCTCTCTCTCTCTCTCTCTCTCTCTCTCTCTCTCATTCGCGCATTTCCTTTTTATTTTGCGACCACGCAAGTGAATCAATCGATGATCGTACGAGTGGAGGAGAGTAACTCACGTGACACGGGAATCACGAGAGAACGCGCGAGTATTCCATGGAATATAAACGTAAACACTCTGTCACGCGGGACTGCTTCAATTTCATCGAACCGTGAAGGAGAAAGGTTGGACACATAAAAGAATTTTCTAAAAATAAGAAGTTCGCATGTTCACTGCCGTAATGATATCAGGGAGTTCTTCATTCCCGACGCCATTTCGAAATTAGCGTATTTTGGCAATCAATGTGTAAGTCACACGGAGAAAATATTGTGGCAAAAATTAAGTTAAAATTAGATTTTCTTTTACAGTGTTTTGTTCTTGTAAAATCGAACTATATACTGCGATTGCAATGTGTGTGTGTGTGTTGTGTGAATTACAGAAACATTATTACAGAAATAGTAAATTCGACGATATAACATATGATACAAAAAACATTAAATTACAGTAATTTTGTGATAAAAAGTCAAACATGTACGATATTTTTAAGTAAATATATAGTAATTTCGATCACAATTCTGTATGGTCCAAGATTATAGAAATCTTGTTGTAATTTTTACTACAATATTTTCTCCGTATACAATTGTATCATTAGATCTAAAAAATATTATTAAATCTTTTTTATTCAAATCGACTTAGATTTTTCATCTACTTAGATCAAATTATATCTTTAATTGACGTCAAATGTAGTAAAACGGATAAAAACACGACTTTTAGGGTAAAAACTCGATCTAACTTCGATTTGCTTCTATGATGCAAATGTGCAAAAGTTCGCAACGAAAATGTCCACTCGTACGCATACGTGTTTGAGTTCCCCCCATATTTTCGTCATAGAAGAGGGAGATCTGTACAGTGAGCAGGTTGTTGTCGCTGTTCGGCGAGCGGCAACAGAATCATTATTTGGATGCCGGACATTCAAAAGAATATAATCCCATTCTTAGCAGAATTTCCTTATACATGGTCTCAACAGAAAATTTTTCTAAAACCAAAATGGAGATATTTCAATGAAGAGAACTCTATTTGCAAAATGCTATTTCCTACAACCCCGAGATCGAAGCGGGAATATTTACAGAAAGTCAGAAAATTTGCAGAAATTATTATAGTGAAAATGTATAGAAAACATTGTAAAAATTACGTTCAAATCATACTTTTACTTTCAACCTTTCTTGTAAAGCTGAACTATATTGAAATTGTCGTATAAATTACTATAAAAACAGAAAAAATTTAACGATCTACCTGATATATAATACAAAAAAAAAAAACATTCAAGTAATCACAATAATTTTGCAGTAAAAATTCGAGCGTGTGTAATATTTTTAAACTAATATACGGTAATTTCGGCCTTTATTTTGTATGATCCGAGATTATGAAAATTTTGTTGCAATTTTTTTACATTTTCTCCATGCATGAAAGACATAAAGTGAGACTTGTACACTGCATTGTCAGATAAAAGACGAAATTCTTCTCTAGTTTTAAAAATATTGTGTTCGGAACATCTTCCTTTGGTCTTGGAGGAATCCTCTCGAGGCCATAGAAAGAAAATCCTACTAAGGATGAGATGATATTTCTTGAGTGAAAGAAATCACGACCGACGGGCATGGGCATCAGATGGGGAATCGCGCGAATTTGTAATTTGTACACACGGCTCTCGTCGTTCATTCAACACACACACATACACGTGCGCATATGCACACACCTATACACGCCCACTCAGAGATTGTATAGCACGATTCTACCATCACGATAATTCGAAAAATATTTGCGAGCGATCGGCGATGAGTCTCGTTACGTTTTCTACGCGATTAAGGGTGCACACACAGAGAACAGTAATCACCTACGTTTTATTTTTTTTTTACGCGAGTTACTTTAATTAGCGCGACGTCGTTTTAACGTTTTTCTTCTATTTTCTTTTTTATCTCCTCAACAAACTGTTTTTGATCATCGAGAAAGCTTCGATTACGGGCGTCGGCGAAGTGCTACTCGTAATACACTCGGCCCCGTGAGCTTATTTGCGTTTGACATACCTCTTATATATATTTATATATATGGCTGTGTGTGTCTGTGTATGTGTGTGTGTGTGTGTGTATACTTTATATATATATATATATATATATATATATATATATATATATATATATATATTTGAATTTTACACGTACGTCTCAGCTCGCGGATACCGACAGATCGGACATGACCGCCGTGTCGCGCGCCACATTATACTCCGCACTGTGTGTCGTTTAAAATATATATAGCTTTTTATGTTTTCATCCGCAGATACAAAAATACGATTCTCGGTCGGGTACGGCGTCGGCGTTCACTCGTACACGCACCCCTTCTCGACCGCGTGCCCGACGAATGATCATCCGCTCACGCAGGATGCGCTTGCTTTTTTCTCTCTTTTTTTTTTAATTATATATCCATAGCGAGATGAGAACAACCAACATCGCGTCGCTCAAGTGCGCACGTTCAATCTTGCACGGGAAAATTAATCAGGGACCGGATGAAAAACTCAGCTTGGAAAAACAGAAAGATTTCTGCTCATCAGCCAAGTGATTTCAGTTATCTCAACCGACTTTTAATGCAGGTTGAATATTCAGATGAACGTACTTTCGGTCACAGTCCTTGTTCAGTTACTCGAACTGAAGCTGTTCTTTCCGTGCATGGATAAAACACAACTGCTTTAGTGTAACTGAATTTTCTGTTGGGGACTGGAGGACCAGATACAAATCCGGTTGAGAATAGAAAGATTCCTATAGAAGGTTTCCACTCAGCCAATTATTCTCAGTTATATTAAGAAAATTTTAGTGTAGACAAATGTTTTTAGTAAGAAAGATATTATTTCCCGTCTGGTCCCTGTTCAATTGCACAAACTGGGATTGTTTTCCTTTTTCGTGTGAGACATCGGTTCTTTCTGGATTCCTAGCGACTATATCACGCGAGGACGTTGGTTGCTTCGATTTCAAGTGCGCCGTCACCTCTTTGTCGTTCGATCCGCAGTTCGCATCGGCAAGGTGCATTTCTCTTCGCGCTTTATGCAGTTGTCGCCCGTTTTCGTGCGCACACACGCGCGCATTCGGTCGACTTGCGCTCGAGTTTCAAACGATGCATTAGAATTTTGTCCTGCAAGAGTAAATTTTTAGCGAGAAAAACATTAGTCGAGAGTGATCGCTTGACATGCCTTATTCAGGCAGGAGATATTACGCGTTGAATTACATGTTGACTCTCGTCTTCCTCTCGTCTTCATCCCCCTCGGGAGTCGAGCAGGGAAAGAAGGCGCCGGGCGTCTTCGCACAGTCGGCGCTCCGGTTCTCGGGATCAATGGAGAAGAAGTGCACGTGACCGTTGAAACATAAAATTCTCCAAAAATATATTTCCCGTTCCTCTCTCTCTCTCTCTCTCTCTCTCTGTCTTTCTCTTTGTCTCTCTTTCGCATCGTAACACACGCGCCCGAGCGAGTCAACCTCGACGAGCTCGATCGAACCGGAAAGCCGACCGTGCGTGTCCGCGGGAAAAAGGGAGACACGCGCGAACAATTGCCCGGAGAGGTCCGGAAAGATGCATTCCCTCTGTGTGCGAAGTCGATTGGAACGGGAAGTCGTTCCAATCGACTTGAACGATCTTCGGAAAGTGCGCAGCGACAGTTCGTGCGTGCTCCCCGTTTCCCTCGGGACTCTCTAAAGTACAATCAGTGTATTCTTCATTGAACTGTCATCCTGATAACTGACGATTCAGTTGTAAGAGTACAGCATTGCAATCGGTAAAATCTCGCTAAAAGGATCAGTTAATAGTGCTCGTTAAATTTCTCGGATCAAAATCATGCTTAAAACGAGTAAGAAGTGACAGTATCGTCGCTCAAAGCGACAGGGAAACACACACTGTCACTCGAAACTGCAGAAGTGAATGTTTCACTGAAGATTAGAGTGGATTCTAACTCCAGTTTCAGTCGATTACAGTAAACGTTCTTCTGATGATGGAATACATCAGATTTATTCTTCAATTTCGAGTGAAAGCATTCATTCGACGATTCAGAGTGGAAAATTCACTCTACGGGAGTGAACAATCACTCGATTTTGAGTGACTTAGCTGTCACTTCACTTCTCGAGTGAAATTTCACTTCGAGAAATTTCGAGAGTAGCGACTATTCCCATTACTGCTGCATTTTGCAAACGTAAGCAGTGTTTTTGCACGCATGGCACTCGTACAGATTTTATAGATTTACTACAGATTTTGCAGCAAAAAATTTAGTTCCATTAATCAAGATTAGTGAGACATAAGACAGAGCAGTGTGAAAGTGTCTTCACTGAAAATTTCAATAAATACTCATTGATTATCGGTGGATAGTCCTTCCACTGATCCAATCAGCAATATTTTGACTGATTCACTTGAAGAGGACACCTTTCAGCTCCCTTTCTGCTCCCCAGAGAGATGATCGCGAACACGCGCAAATCGGATAATGTTCCAAGTGCTCATAAATATCGGCCGAAACGTATCCCAAAGACGCAACTCAGTCCACCGTTTTCTTCTCTTCATTTATCTTCTCTTTGCCTCTCTCGCTCGATTTTCTTCTTCTGTCGCTTTTCGATTATTTCGCGGGTGATTTTCTACGCGGACACGTAAGACGGACACGCATGCTACACGAGACGTCCTGTTCATCCGTCTCCTGCTCCTTTCCTCTCCGTTGCCGAAGGAGAGGACATCAAAACGCGCGAAGCACTAGAAAGCACACACAGGCGAAACGGTTCAGACATCGACGAGCGCGTGTTCCACGTGTAAAGTGTACCATATTAAAATACAGCTTCTCTCTCTCAATAATTCTTCGTTTTTCCTTCTTCCTCCTTTTGTATGCATTCGCTTCCTCCGGTTCCTTGCCGCCTCTAGACACCCGCGCGACAATCGTTATAATAATCATGATAATCATAATCGTATTCGTAATTAACATTACTTTTGCTTTTACATTACTTCCCCTCGCGTCAAATCGTCTAAAAATATGTCGTATGTATCTTCGTCTTCGCTTCTCTCTCTCTTTCTCTGTTGTCCCTTCTTCCTCTCATTTCGTTCTTTCGCGCGTTTCTTGCGAAATCGCCGAATATTCTCTTTCTTTCTCTATCCGTCCACCTACCCCGTTCATCGCGCGATATACACGCGCGTTTTATTCTCAAGACGAATACGCGTTATTAATCATAGGTATCTACATGTAATGCCTATATGTATATATTTATAGTGTGTATCATTGTAGTACTCTACGCGCAGATGTAATACACGGACGGTAGTGCCTATAAAAGAGAGGGACACCCAAGATCCGAAAAAGAATTCCGAATGCGAGAACGGTGTGTAAATGTATGTGTGTGTGTCGAACATGTGACGCGTGAAAAACGGAGCGAAACAAACGCGATTCGTATACCATGGTGCATCTCGATTTACGCCGTCGACTCGCCGTCGTTGTCCAAGACGCGAAATGATACAAATTGAAATGCACAGGATCCAGAATTTAAAAAATATGATAAGAGCCTTTCAATAATTACGTCACATCACAAGAGAGGGGGGAGAGAGAAAGTAAAGCTCATGGAACGCCACACGCATTTTGTATCTAAATGTTTTTATATTTAAAAATATATTCTACAAAAGTAATTTAACTTTGTGCGTTAATATATAATAGTAAAAATTTTAATTTCGACATTTTTTTTGGAAATATAATTGTTTTTTTTTTTTTTTTGGAAACATAATTTTCATTAATTAATATTAAAATAAAATAAAGTAATTAATTTGATATACTTAAAAATTATTCGTAATTTTAAAAAAGATAATAGCATAATCTAGTATTATTATACTTGCAATACAATAAATTTTTTTTCTGACGCAAATTTGTCGGTAAACATTATCGCTTTCAGCGACAACGTGACGACGTTTGCGAACCTTTTACAATTCCTTAAACGTATTAAAAATAGGATATAACTTTTCTCCATTGTGTTATTTGATTCGTCTTGATTTCTTTTAATCAAGACTTTCTATCTTTTCTGGAATATAACTGGCTAATATAAATTGAAGGAGAAAAGTAAATTATTTTTTCTTATCCTATGTAGAGAGAGAAAGTAATGTCATACATCACGTAATATTGGACTCAACCTTTGTGACAAAAGGGGAGGGAGAGGATACAAAATACTCAAATCTTGCGTGACGCAATTGTAGAATGGCCCTTAAAAGAAGAGATTGACTCCAACTGTAAAATCTCGTTGAAACGACGGCGTTGATGGAGCCGTTGGACAGCGCGAATCGAGCGGCCGCCGTCGTTGTGGGAAACGGGGATGTTGTCCCCTTCGTCGAGGCGCTCAGCACGAAGAACGTCCTCGCGCTGAAGCTCGCGTCCCGCGACAGAGAGAAAAATACGCGAGAATACTTACACACAGAAAAATATATGTATCGCTAATTTATGGAGCATACTCGAATCTCGTCCGTACGCCGCGATTGTCATCGTCGGGACAGTAGGCCGCGTCGCGAACTTGCAATTACAATGAATTGCGAAAGCTCCAGCCCGTCGGACTCGAGCTGGACTCGGCTTCATCTCGCGGCATATCCTCGAGCTGAAAGCGACGGCGCCCCTCCTGTCCCGACAACGACGAGACGTATGCTGGGAGGTAGTCGTTGCTGCGTTAATCCTTAGCATATTTAGACTTAACAATATGTGTGTATGTTATCTTACCGCTACGACGTTTCTGAATTCCGATAGTCGATTCTCAGCGCAGTTACGTCGCGCCTCGTAGTCCCTGATCGGTCGATGCCATTCGTTAAGTAAGCATGAGTTCGCACTCGAAGCGCCGGGAACAACGCAGACGTGAGACATGATTAGGAGGAGAATCGTCCGGATGTTCGTCCACGACGAACAAATTGACGCGAGCTACTCGCTCTGACCGTTTATAACCCGTATTAACAGTCGTTACTCGAGATTTGTCGCATGTTAGATATTCAAATTTGAGCTTAGCGTTGGGTGCGAGTTTTTCAGTTGAACTACAACGGTAGACACAAAATAATTTATGCGATTCAATTGGAAAACTTAGATTTCCAATTATAAGACTCGTTTTAACAGTTGTCTCGTGTGAGATACTTGGATTTCAATTTAGAGTTACGTTTGAATTCTTCAGTCGAATCATATGATATACATCTGACATTGCATCTGCAATTTCAATTCAAGTATAAACTCACATTTCACTCTGAATTCAAGTAACAATTATTAAAATACGGGTCTAAATTCAAATAGAGAAACTGAACAAAAATAGGATTTTACAACACAATGTAATCGTCGAATTTCTTTCCGCGTTTGTTCTCCATCCAACAGACTCATGTTCTTCACGGCTCTGACATCCAAATCGTTCACGGTGCTTCGTCTCTGCGACGCTCTCGCGACTAACTTCTGCCCACGCGCGGTTTGTTTAGTAGGACATCGGTCGAACGCACACGCGAGGATCGAAGGAAGAGGCGCGCACGCGAGCGCGTTCCGAAAATTCGAAGACGTACGTCCGTGCGAGCGAGCGACGACTCGAGAACCGACTGACCAGAATCGACATGATTCCTGTCTTCCATTTTTCCTTTTTAACTGTACATACGCAGCTATATAAGCGAGTATACACTTTTTACACGTGCGTAATTATGCGCACTTTGCCTTCCTTCCCTTTGCGCGCTCCAACTGCGAGGAAAAAGGTTCCTATCGCAACGTCTGATCGAATGGAATGATCGGCAGTTTCCTCCCTCGGCTCTCCTGCTCCTCCTTCTCCTTCTCCTGCGCGTTTTTGGAGATGATCTCGCTAATGCACACACCGTTGAATAACGCGCGTCTTGCCCTCGGGAAGGAAACGCGAGACGCATACGCACTACCGAGGAACACCCGTTCGTCCGAATTGAAACGCGCGAGTCCGGCCGGAATAACAGCGATCTTCTCTTGAGGATCTTTACAATTTTTCACAAAATTATTTAATTTGCATAGTCGAAAAATGTTTCACGACTCTTGTCTTTCGAAAGTTACACACTTTTGTCATTAAAATTCAACAATGATATATCCTTTTAACTCATCTGCATCATTAGGAGACTTAAAAAATCAATGATTCTTTGTTCTGTTCATTAAATCGAATCAAATGTGATAAAGCGGATCAAGAATGACATGATTCTTGCAATTCCATCTTGAATAAGCAATCTTGAAGAATCCAATATAGTCAGGCAAAATGTGTACCCTTCCATTGCAAATGAGTAAATACCGCAGAGTCCGGTTGTCGCGTCCTCCTTTGACGCTTCTCGGCATCGATCTCAATTCACACCCGCCAAAAATACAGATACCGTTCGAAGAGGAGGAAAAAAGAAGTCTAAAGAACGATACCTCCGGCCTCTCATAGAGGGTACGTGGCGTAGCGCCTCGCGTTTCCTTTTACATCGCGGCAGGCGAACGAGCGTTACCGTTAGAGGGTTAGATAACGCGTGCGCTCGCGACGGCGTTCCCGCCGTCCGGAGTACTAATCAACACACCGGCGCAGCGCATCGCACATATGCATTCAATCTCTCACTGTCCCGCACTCGCCGGGCCGCATTCATCGCCACCCGCGAGGCTCTCTCGCGCACGTCGTTTGATTCGATTCGTTTCGACTCGACTCCCCGGGTCCGCGGACCCGACCGACCGACCGACCGACCAACCGACCGCGTGCTCGCCGCGAGCACCGTCTTTCGTAGGCACGGAAGTATTACTTTTTATTGCGTGTACTCTAACTGACAGTCTCCCTGAGAGAGAAACCCTAACTTGCCGAGGCGCACTCGAGAGACTCATATCACATTGCGATGCTCAGGCAAGATCCTCGCGCCTCTCCAAAGCATGTCCGCTTTGTATCTTCGTTTGTCCTTATTGCACGCGACTTCCTTTCGTCCCAACCCCCTCAAGCCACCACAGCTCGACGATCTTTCGGTGCGCCTGGAGACCCCGGCGAGCTGACCGACGATTGCTCCTCCTCCTTCATCTCTCCCGACATTGCCGAGACTCGCGAGAGTACCGCGCGATGCGAGTAACGATCGAGACGTCGCCTTCTATGTGAACGTAATGCGTGGTCGCAACGCGAAGGCTCGATCTCGCGGATGCTTCTTGCCTGACCGTCGCGGCCGAGTTTCCACCAAAGGTCTCTCGAGTCGTCCTTCCACCTCATCCGGTCCTCGCGCGATTGTTTCCCGAAGCCTCTTCGTTATTCCGGGCGCGTTCGACCGCTCACTCGTCCTCCTTCCTGCTCCTCCTTCCTCTTTCTTTCTTCTTTCTACGATTTACGCATCTCGCAGTTGCTGCTCCTTTTGTCGCATCCGCTTCCTTATCCCTTGAACTAGGTGACGCGCGCGTGGAACATCGGAAACGAGAAGAGAAACGATTCGCACGAGCGTCGATCGTCCTGAGAGACGTCGCCTGTCGTCGACGAGAGACTAGACTTCTGTCGATGCCGCCGGTCCTGACGCGGAATCCCGACAAGTCGCTCCTTCGCCGCGTCCACGTAGCACGGCAACGAGCTACTGGCACTTGGTGTCGCGATGGACGACGCCCCGTGTATCCTACGACATTGCTCCGCGCCCTGTGTCCTGCGTCCTCGTGACGGCTACGTCGCCGCCGCCGCCACGAACGCCGGGCCGCCACCCGTGCTCACCGCAAGGAGTAACGCGAAACCTTCACAAATAATCGTTCTCGACCGCCTGAGCGTCCTGCGACTTTAACGTCGCCATTTCCTCCGCTGTGCCTTCCTCACCCTCCTGCTCCTCCACGAAGCTTATGCTCCCGGCCTTGTACCAGACGACTATGTCTACCACAAAGGCCAACACGAGGATACCGCCGGTCGTGCCTGCGGAGAAACGCACATGTTATTGCCGCCAACTACGCTGGACGGTTTAACGCTTGAGTCCCGCCGTGTTCTTTAAACCTTTGGCTATTGGGTGAAAAAAGATGTTTATGAACTAAAGATGCTTTTGACAAAAGAGTTAATAAAATTATAAAATTATAAAAAGATTACTTTCTATAAAGATTTTTTTGAGTTGCTATATCTAAAGTCCAAATTTCAAAATTTTGAATAGCGAACCAAAGATTCAGAAAATCATTCGATTTGCAGAAAAGTTTGCATTGAGAATTTCTCGAAGCTGCTGTTTTTTAATCGAAAATTAAAACTTTTTGTTGAACAAATGGCGCATCCATTACGGCGGCAAAACACTTAAAATAATTAAAACCATTCAAAATTAATTTTTATACAAATTAAACCATATTTTGACTTTTTTGCCCATTATATTGAATTCATGAATTTTATTTTGAATTTGAAGTCGCTAATTTCAGAAACGTTTAAATACCAATTTTTATGCAAACTGAACGATTTTTTACATTTTTGGTCCGCCATTTTTAATTACACAATTCTGATTTTATATTTAAATTTAGCGACCTCAGAAACATAAAAATATGATATTCCGTTCTCTCCAATTGTTCCGCTATAAATATTTTTATTTATGTGTGGATCTTTCCCCCTTTGACTTCCTATTTTTTAAAAGATTTTTAATTTTTGCTTACTGTGGAATCATTCCCTAAATTAATCTTTAGAATCAAACGCTAGTTTCTAAAAATTTTCCAACGAAAAAGAAAAATTGTTAATGAGCGCGTTTATAGGCCAATTTAAAACGTGATTAGGTGATCTTCGAAATAAACCGCCGAAATCAATTCGCGTCCTATGTCTTTTTGAAAACCGAATGAGAAACGCGTGCATACCGTGATAGAACATCCTGAAGACGTTCGAATCGTACAGCCAGCAGGCGCCTCGCTCGCCGCAAGCATATTCCCATACGAGACAAGCGGAATCCACTACAGCACCATAAACAATAGGACAGGGAACATTGCCTAAAATGAAAAAAACAAAGGTAATATATTATATTATTATGTATGTTATATATATTATATATATATAATTTTTTTTTATATATATGTAACACACACTATACGAAAAACACATCCGTAATTGCCAATTATTTCGTCGAGTCGGCCGATATAAAGATAATTATAATCTTTCGATGCTTTTCCGCGCTCGCTTCCTCGTTTCATTCGAGTTTCAGAGACACGTCGCGGTCTGTATGTTGAAAGAAAAAAAAGAGAATGTCTCGTCGAGTAATTACCGAACAAGCCGATGGCAAATTGTATCAGGCCGAGCGCCATGGCCTTGTCCCTGGGATCCACGCATCGCAGGATGAGCAACATAGAGCCCACCTCGCTGGTCGAGTGGATAAAAACGAAGACCGAGAACAGGATCATATAAACCCAAAAGTTACTGCACTCCAGCTCGCAGTAACCTATCTTCGCCGTGCTCACTTCTTCTGGTATCGTTATGTTCTGTCCGATGCACTGACAGTTATAAAACTGCGAAGTACCAAACATAAGGTCGTCAGAAGGGAGGAAGAGAAGGCAAAAAGATCGTAATTGACACGAGGACAAGACTTCGCGATAAGTATGCGCGATAAGTCACGCGTCAAAAATTAAAAAAAAACCATAACTGCTAAATATAAGTTTTACATCGGTTTTATGATAAATATAGGTTTTACATTGAATGGGGAAGTATTAATCAATTTTGACGATCAACGCGATATCACTATGAGAATATATTACAGATACTAATAAATATTTAGATATTTCAAAATAAAATACATTTAGAAGTCTACAGACAGAAGAGAGCTTTTATTTTTTAAACAGAATTTAAATTTTATCAAATTTAATTCAATCCGCGCGCGTCAATTTAATTTAAAGAAATACGACTCACACCGCTGATTAAAAATTTAAATTTTATCAAATATAAATTTGATTAATAAATATAAATTAATTTTTTTTAATTAGTAATGATGTAAGTTGAATTTTCTTTTAATAATAAATTGAGAAAATACTGTTTATACTAAAAACGAAAATACTGTTTGTGAAAGATATTGTTACACACTATTCTAATAGAACCGATAAAAATAAGAGTCTAATAAGTGTTTGATTACTTATGGATACTTATAATATACTAATTCGTCGTAAAACGACGCAAGTGTTTCGAACTCTTTGCACGACTCGGCGAGTCGATCGCGATTATTCCCGAGCCTATGGCGCGTCTCCGAGCTAATGGCCGATTCAATTACCGTCGGTGTACCGTGCAATCTCGTTGAAAGAACAGACATGTCGGCGGTTCGACTACTGCGGCGTACTTACCGATGCTACTTTGCCGTCAACAACCGTATAATTCGAGCAGCCCGCGTGACACGCGGAGAAATACGTTCTGCCGTCGGCGCCGCAGATTGGACTGAATTTGTTCCGATCGCAGTCGCAAGTGGTCTCGCAGGTCGGCTCGAAGCTGGATATTCTGTGGAAATGTCGTTTCAGAGTCAGCCGGCGCCTCAAACTTAAGTGAGATTCGCCTCCTGTCTCGCCTTTATTAAATTCGAGACAGACAGAGTTTCGCGCGCAAAAATATATTATTCTAAAATGATTCGGGCGGTGCATATTGAACTTCAAATGAATTAAGTCGAATACTACAATCCGTCCAGGACTAATTTAGCAAGAACCAATCAGTATCTATGCAAGGATTTTGTAAACAACATAAACAAAGCGCATAAATTGTTTTCTCGAATAATGTACATCGAGAAAAAAGTATTTGAAGATTTATTTGCGGGAAATGGAGTTTATCATATAGAAATGAATTTTATTTTACGGAAATAAATTTTACATCCCATAAATAAATTTTCAAATTATTTTCTCAGCGTGACATGCAAATAACAGGATACTCTTGATATTATATAGAAATATAAAAATGCTCAGAAAATATCTAGACATTCTTGTGATTATATATCCTGAACATTCTGAATATTTGGAGAAAAACAATTGATTTATTGCACCATAAAATCCATGTAAAGCTCTTGGTATTCGCCCAATTTTATACCAACCAATATCAATCAAGAGAATTATGGAATTAATCATTTTCCCAACATAATCCGTACTTTTGCCGACTAATTTGACCGCGCTGTGCGATGTAAAAAATTGCGTGGAACAAAAATTTCTGTTTATCCCGGGGAAGGCAAACTCACAGTGCGCCTCGTCCACGTTTAGGACACGGCGGCGGTGGCGTGCGATACAACGGTTTGTCCCCCTCGACGACGGGGCACGCATCGCTCTACACCGGACAAAGTCACTGTCGAGATTCGACTTTCGCACACACATACGGGGCACGGATAAACCGCCGGGGGTGGGAAAGAGAGGAATCGAAATCGAGAGAGTCTGAGAAATGTATGTATCTGGGGGAACCCCGGGTGACGTCGTTGACTTGTAAATAAGACGCGGTGGCCACGACATTTCAGATACGCGTACTTACGATGCACATTCTAATGGGACACACATCCGAACACGTTGTCTTTTCGTTAAACACTACGAATGACACGCCGGCCGCCGATATATTTGAATACGATGGTTTTGTGACAATGTGTTACTAACGTGAGCCGGACTCTCGAAAACACCGACGTTATCTGAGGGAATATGAAAAGTTCATTGGCTTGAGAGATCGAGGGAGGAAGAAGAAGAGAGAGAGAGAAAATGAAACAGAAAGAGACGGAGAAACCCAACTAGAAATTTATCCCATGGTCAGGTTGTTGGCAATAAATTATTATGTTTGTACTACGAAGAAAATATCACAGCAAAATTGCAATGTTTTTTTATATCGTATACCTGGGCCCTTATTCTTGAAATAGTTGCGTATATGTAAGTTTTACTGCGCAGCTATTTTATGGTATAATTAAACCTGCGCAGTAAAACTTACGTATACGTATCTATTTCAAGAATAAGGGCCCTGGTAGATCATCAAATTTATATTCTTGTACTTGCATTATAATTTCAATAGAATCCAGTTTTACAAAAAACCTGGTAAAAAGAAATGAAAAATAGAAAAATTTTAATGTAATTTTTATTACAATATTTTTTTCACGTAGAATGTGATACAATATGCCATACAATGTGGCAATTAGGATCTTATTAATAAGTAATATTTGAGAACATTACCTTGTACAAAACAGATAACCGATTGGAATCAACCTGACCAGAAGCACGGGATAAATTTCTACACGGACAGAATATAATTTTCTTTTTCATGTAAATTCTTTTCAATTTTACTGTGTTTCCAGTAGTGTAGGAAGATTGCCAGTAAGGTCTTGCTAAGAAGCGCAGCAAATTTCGTTGGAAACATAGCAAATTTTTCAATAGAATATTTCAGTTCCGAAATTACAAGTAGTACATACGAAATGAATGGTAAAACACATATAATACAATGATAGTCAATTGTCATAGAATATTAATCTATCCTTCAGCTATAAAATTCTGCGGTAGTTTTCGCTATAAAATTCTCTCTGCATAGTCGGGAAGAACGCGAAGGAGACATAAACTTTCTTTTAACCTCACCCGAGCTTTCCACTATTTCCATAAAAGAATCAACACGATCTAAATAAGATTTACGTGAGCCGAAATTGAAATTGAAAATATCGCTCAACTATCAGCGGCTTGATTTACTCGACCTAGTCGAAATATCTCGTTCAATTTATACTCATGAATAATTGCCTTAACAAGTGATATTTTATACGATATTAATTATCATGTGTCATTTCATTAGTCGCTCGTTATTTTCACCATTGGGCTGTTCTCCTCTCGCGCACACATATATATTCGGCTATATTCGCTTTGTAATTTCGTTGGATGCTGAGAACATTTGTTGCTTACCCGTCGGAATGTGACACCAGCCCGGCGAAATCGTCCATCGGGCAGCCGATGAACATCAGCACGCCCATGCCGATCGCGTAAGCGACCGCAGTGAAGGCGATCCAGGCTGCGACGAACCTGGCGTTAGGCTTCACCCTCAAGATAAATACTCCGCTAATTATGATACCCAATCCCATCACTAAAATACCACCGACACCTGCGCAGAAAAAACACACGATTTCGCTCGATACCATTCTCCGACCGCCTCAATTCGTGTCCCCGAGACAACTCGGCTTTATAAAAAAGCCGGATATACTTCGTCGATACTGCAAAGCACGCTTTGTCTGTTGTATTGAATTAAAAACAAGTAACGAAAAAGGATGCCGATCAATCGATCGATCGAGGTCTTGTCAGCTGTAAACAATTCTGCAACTGAACTTTGCAGAGAAAGAAAATGATAAAAAACATGCACCCTCAACACATTCGCCATTACCATCCATTTGAGGAACCACTCACTTTAATAGACTACTCTCTTCTACAGTGTAAAACAGACTTAATTTAAATAAATAATGATGGTATTATAAAAATGATATTGTAAAGGTTTTAGAACTCTTTCATTACATATTAAAAAAAATAAATAAAACGGTATTGCAGGCCTTCTTCAGCTTAAAATTATATATATAAAATTGGGAGAGTCAAAGAGCTCAGTTGAAATTCTTATATGTGGCAGCGTCGTCACGACGAAACAAAGCAAAACCGAAAGCGGAGAGAGACTTAATTCGTTTATACGAAACATAGAATAAAAAGTTATCACTATATCACACATATATAACGCTGATAGCGAACGTGATAGTAATTCCGAGAAAACCAAACGCAAGCATTAAACTGAGAAAAAGTGTTGAAAAATTTATTTGTAGGACATAAAGCTCATTTCACAAAGAAGTGCACTTCTTTGTATCGCATAAATAAATCCTGGAATATTTTTTCTCATGGAGATTTTCTCCGCGATCCTCTCTCCATGCAACCTCACCAGCACGCTGTAACTTCTTCGCGGGCGGTCGCGGATTAATTCGAGATCGATACACGGCATCGCGCAACAACAACAACAACGACAACAATGCTACTCCGACAGCAATCGCCATATTATTCGCTGAATAATACAGCCGCGGATTATAATACGCGGAGTAGAATAGAAGCGGAGCGCGCCCCAGCCTTGTTCTACGGTCGGCGCCAATTACTCGGCGAACAATCATCATAAATTAGAGCGCACACGCACACGTACGTGTGCCACGAAAGACAGAGAAAGGTACAATTAATACCGCGCGCATTCTACCGATTACATCGAATTATCCTGCTTTGCATTATCGTTGCATGCGCAAGCGACTCGCGACCGTCTCGCGACGTCCTTTCGATCTTGCCGTCTCGTCAAGTTTTTCACCACTTATTAATTACATTGCGCGCGCGGACACACCGGTGGGACATTATTCTCTTAATGTGCGGGAGGAGACGGTCGAGAGCGCGAATCGCGACTGCTCCAGGTTGCTCGAGGATTAACAGTGATAGTGATAGTTGAGCTTAGTTTGGCGCGCACAAATTGACTCAAGCGAATTGAGATCCTATAGCAGTCGTTAAATCTCGCTTTACTGCATATATGAACACATACACACAACACAACACAATACAATTGCATATAAAAATGTCACATGATTTTCTTAAAGCGTGCAAAACTCTTTATCTTTTCCTTGTGTGTAGAATTAATATATTCAACAAATATAATAATATCATCTTCAGCAGAATCCTCTTATATAAATTGCATATGGACTTAATATATGATTCTTTTAAAATTAAAATATTCTAACACTCTAAAAGAGAACGAACTCTGGTTGCAAGTAATATTGTCTATAATCCCGTATTCTAAACGAAAGTTCTTCTATCCTTCTAATAAAGAGGCATAATATGTTGTGCTTGAAATATTTTTCTTTGGGAGTTTTAGAAGAATCCTCTTCCCGTATATAAAAAAATTCCGCTAAAGGTGAGATTACATTTGTTGGTTATCGTGTACAACTGACAGACGTCATATTCACTTTGAAGTCACTTTGAAGTCGAATCGTCTGACTTTAATAATAAATTTGTCCCTGAAAGGTCAAATAAATTCACGAATTTCTCGACGCGAGACGGGACGACTCCGCAGAACGGAGCGAGACAGCCGTCTCGGTGATACGTAAACACACTCGCGGTTCTCGCTTTCGCGTTTACGCCAAATTATCCACTTTGCGTCGTAATCACGACGGACATCCGGCGAGAATCTCCGCGACCGTCCCGTCCGTTAGGACCGTTCTTTCGTCGTCGTCGTCGTCGTCGTCGCGCGGTTTATTCGGGGACACAACTCGTCCTCGCGCGGTGCATGTCATTAGTAATAATTGGGGATACGTTTCGAGGGTTCTCCCTCCCTTCTCCGCCTCGCTTCCCCCCTCGCCACTCACCCCGAGGGGCCCCTCGCATGTCTGTCCGCGATAATTACCTGAGATCATGTTCGCATGATGAGCTGCCAGGCGAAATTGGCTCTCGAGGTACTTTGGCAGGAAGGTGTAGAGACCGGCGATCGGCAGGATGTGCAGCACGCTGCTGGCTGTCCTGAACATGAGGATGTCGTTCTTCAGTAGCCTCTTCACCGCATTAGGAAAGTCTGTAACCAGTGATGGTCTGAGTATTGCGGCACGAAACGCGAGAACGTGAGGAATAACCCGTCGGATATCGGCCCGTAGGATATCGTGTGCGCGTGTGTTCCCTATGTGGTTTGGCAAATGATAGATTGAACAAGAAATGTCACTTAATAAACGCAACGGCAGCTAAATATAGCTAAATATAAGTGGCTGAATAACGAGCGTGTCTGCCCCGAGTCAAAATTTTGCTTCTGCACTTGTCTCGCAAGAGTTTCAACCAACTCGCAAGACCGACGTCGAGGTACAGCACTGTACGAGCTGTCGCCCTGTGTTGAGGTGCTTACACTCTACCATTTTTTTCACGTTGAAAAAACAGACAAGTCCTACCACCGTCCATCGGGGAATCCAACCCAACAATTTACCCTGTATTTTTTATGTAATAGCGTGAAAAAGGCTTATGTATCGTGGAATGATAGATCATCGCTGTGGCACATACATGACGTCGATCTCTCATGAGGGACCGATGCGTCACACATTTGTGACGCTGACAGCGAACGTTGTTAAAGAAGGACTTATTAGATAGATAGATAATCGCCCGCTAATTCCGTTATTTATCTGTATTAACACGTGTGACGCTAATAGTGAACGCGTTAAAGAAAGGCCTTATCTTAATTAGATAGATAATCGCCCACTAACCCCATTATTTTTTTTATCCGTACATGAAAGAATTATTGTAGTGAAAATTACAACAAAATTTGTTCAGTCTTGGAGCCATGACCTTTGAGCCTTGAACCATATAGAATTTATCAAAATTACTGTGTATTTGTTTAAAAATGCTACTTTACTACAAAATTATTGCAATTACTTAAATGTTTTTTATGTTTGACTTTTTGCTACAACATTATTGCTTTTTTATATTATACATCAAGTAGATCGTTAAATCTACTATCTCTACGCTCAAAAAAATGCAGTCTTGCGTTAGGCAGAATTCTCTTAAGATCTCAAGAGAATTCTTCTAAAACCAGCAGGGAAATATTGTAAACATAATATTTTTATCAACTTTAGCATAGTTCAGTTGTATGAAAAACATCGTAAAAGCTACATTGCACGATATAACTCTAGCGTAATTCTTGCTGCAGCATTTTCTCCGTGTATTAATTATTCAACATTCACCCCGGGGTGTGTTAGCATGGAAGCGCAGGGCTGCCTTCGCCAGTCTTCGGGAAAATTACGGGCCATGGAGTATTCCCGGAGCGACTACGCTCGGGCAATGCGATCTCTTCATCAGAGAGACAAAGGAATCGGACAACCGTGTTCGGTGCTCGATACACGGCGGGTGGATGTATCGGTCGTTGACTCGAGGTGTTAAGTGTCTCTCATGGGCGAAGGTTACGCAAGGCTCAGCAATATCTCAGTCGCGATCCGGCTTCGCGGATGCAACGCGGGATGCAGAGACACGGTTACCTCTCTCTCCCTCTCTCTCTCTCTCTCTCTCTCTCTCTCTCTCTCTCTTTCTCATCGGTCTTGGTCGTCGTCGTCGTCTGATGACTTTGTCCGTCTGGAGCGTCGCACGATTATCCGGCGAATATCAGACGGAGCTGCCGGATTCTGCCGATTGCCCATGTATTTATGAGCTCGATTACATGGAACGAGCTAATTAGCCAGCGATCGCACCACGTCTCTCTTTCTCGATCTTCTGTCTTGTAATCGTTTCCTCTTTCGAGCATGGCGGAGGACTCACGGCGCGGATGTGCAGGAGGAAACGTACGAAGGAGAAAAGTCGCCACGAAGAAAAGAAAAAGAAACTTTCTCGTACGATGATCCTGAATTATAGAATGTTAAGCGTCGTTTCGCAGGTGATTACGCCCACGAGCGATTTCAGACGACGACGGGGGTGAGGACGTTTGCCGGCAGTTTCGTCGGAATTAAGGAGATATTCTGGTTTGACAGGTCATGCAGAAGAAGGTATTTTTCCGGAATTTTTTTCTATAGGGACACGAAAAAACCGAATAGTGTCAAATTTTGTTTTTTTTATTTTTCTTTGAGAATATAGTTTTATTGTCCAAGTGACAAAAGCTGTTCTTTTGCGTGTTATATCTTAATCACTAGGAGAAAAGAATCACTAGCAAAGAAAGATGTTTACGTAAGTGATTCTGGCTCTCTTAGACATATTTAAAACGAGAAACGAAAAATTATCTTATTTGGGAGAAGTGTGGCATCTCAACTAGAACAAATTTTATACATTTATTACTTTCTTTTTTTTAGTAAAACGTTAACGACATTTTGAGGAAAAACTGAAATTTTTTAATGAAAGGCTTCCATTTTGTGCAGAATGATAATATTGATTTAGTTCTAAATACAATTCTAGTTCAGACGATAGCCACACTCCTGCATAAACAAATTTTTGGTTTTCGCGTTTTACATAGGAGAAATTTACTTCCAATTTATACGTCCGTCTTCTTTGCGAGTTCTTAGTAGTCAGGATATAACATACAAAAGAGCAGCGTTTTTGTCACTTAGACAATAAAAACATATATTTTTAAAATGAGGCTTAAAGAATATGCAAAGTTTGATGTTATTCGGTTTACTTGTTCCCCTGAAAAAAATTGCGGAGAACTACTTTCTCTGGCGACCTTTCAAACCAGAATATCAATGCGCGATGGAGATCGATGCGTCGCGTAGATTTTTATGCGCGCTCCTGCCAGACGAAGGTGAGCACTTGCTTGTGGCCGTAAGTATTGACCCATTGAAACGTATAGAACCATTAGGAAGCCCACTACAGTCCACGCCATGGAGCGTCCGCACGTCGGACGATTAAGGGAACGACCGTTATCGCGGCGGAGTCCTGCGAAATTATCAGGCAGACTTGGTAAACGTGCTCGAGAACATCCCTTCCCACTTCGATTTATCGTCCATTCGAAACCTCTAACGACAGAACGTCCATGTGTTCCTCCGCCCTCAACGAGCGTCGAATGTGGGTTTGCGGCTCAACTCGAAATAATGAATCCACGTATTTGGGCTCTTCGTTTTTTAGCTTGATGTAAACGAAGAAACGAGCAATGCCAAACTTTGCATGTTCCCTTATCATCATTTTAAGAATATATTTTTATTGTTTAAGGGACGAACCACTTCGGAGAGATAGTTCAGAGACAAATTGTCCAATTAAAAAATCGTCTAGTTGATCTTGTAAGATATTTAAGTGTACATAATTATGTACATTCACTTCAGTGTTTTATATTGGCGAAGTAATGATTCCGATATAATATTAATGATCTTCATCTTATACATTCTTCGTTCCAACAGACTTCGTAAAACAGGCGTTGAAGAAAATAATATGGCAATCGTGTGCAGAGCAAAATCGTTGACGCTCAAAGTTGTGCAAAGCTTCTCACGAAAAGAAATAAGCAAATGTTATTTTCTCAATTTTTGATCGATGTCATCTTAAAGTATAAGATTGACGTATTTATGATCATTATTATTTCTCGATGGTCAATTTTATTTTGGCGATAAAACTCAAGAGTCTTTTAAAACTATTTTATGAAGAGAAAATTTTATTTGTGGATATTAATGCTTCAAAGGATTAAGAGAATCTAGTGACTGAAAATGTCGATAATATAGAGAAAATAATCACAATATCATGTTAAATAAGCACAATCGCGTTACTTATTTCTTGTATATATAGATCTTATATAAATATGCTGTTCTGTTTTACCATATTTAGCAGAAGACGTGACCACGCATATATAAAAATCTTTCTGCAAACTCTTTGTATATTTTTAAACCCTTAAATTCGATTGTAAAGAAGCAGCAATGTTATGTCCTTAGTATGGAAACAATCTTGGAAATTTAAAAGGTACAAAAAATCTTGGAAATTTAATTTTTCAAAGCCGATTAAATTGAAATTTTGAAAGATGCGAGGAACCCTCACAAGTTGATATTGATGAAGCTCAAAGGGTGGCTCGAGGAATCTATTTTGAGATTTGTTGATAATCGAAGGAAGCAACGCAAAATACACCATCGCCATTCTTTTTCTCCGAGAAGCACGGTAATTCATTCGCACACGGCTCAGGCATCTTTTTCGCACGACACTATACCGAGTGTACAGTATATGCGTAACCTCGCGCGTGCAAACGTGGCCATACGCCTAGAAGTGCCTAGGAGAGTCTCCTAGGCGTCCACGAGAGTCCAGCTAGACCAGTCGTGGCAACCCCGCACACCATAGGGACGTCCCGCAGACCATGAGTAGACAAACGTGACTAACATTGCGCCGCGAGTATTACCGCGCGCATACAGGGTGCCCTTTAAAGGTCCGAACGTACGACGGCGAGGCGCAGATCGCCGTTGCCTATCTGCGAATAATATATCTCCTTCGCTTTTTCGCGAGTCCCATCGATTTTGCGATCGTCGCTGCTTTCGTCGATGAGCCTGAGCCGGCAGACACGCACACACGCGCCATGCCTTCGAGGCATCCGCGAGATAGCAGAAGTCAACGATGCTCGTTTGATGAATATGCGAAAACGCGGAAAATTCCTTCGGGCGAGAGGTGACAGCGTGTGCGATAAATAAAACATTAGCGGAGCCGGACGAGCGTTAGATGTGAAAACAGGCTCTCGCGTAGGCGACTCGCCGAATTAAGCGTGACGGTTTGGTAATGCGGGTCGTAGCGAGCGCATGTATAACCGAGAGGGGGGCAGAGGAGAGTGAGGAAGAGAGAGGCATATGAAAGTGAGTGAGTGAGTGAGTGAGTGAGAGAGAGAGAGAGAGAGAGAGAGAGCGAGGAGACACGTAGGAGGGAGAGAAACAGAGGGGGCGAGAGGCGGAGTACGAAAAGAAAAAAAGGAAAGAGAAAAAAAAGGAAAAAGAAGGAAAGGAAGCGGAATGAGAGACACACGCACGTAGTCATGTGCGTACACGCGCGCGAACGTACACGCGTGCGTGTCCACCGCCGCCTCTATGCACGACGCGTGACCGTGAACTTGCCCCACCTCGTGCACGAGTCGGTCAGTCATTATTATTAACGCAC